GTGCAGGACCTGCAGTACCTGGTTGTGGTCGGCAGGGGGCGCTGTGGGCTCCGGCAGTCACCCCGCGGGGAGAGGGGCTGGAGGGAGCGGTACCGGGCCGCGCGGGGAAGCCGAGGAGGGGATGGGGGGTCCTCGCCTCCGTAGGAACGAAAAGGAAGGCGGACAGTACACTCACCGCTGTCCCAGGTAGTAGGGTCTCACTGCAGTCTCAGACGATGGCGTCTCAGCAAAGAAAACTCCCCCTCCTCCCCCGCGGGCAAAACAAGCTCCCCGTTGAGGCACAGCAGCTCCCGGGAAGCAGGGTATCCAGGCAGGTTGAAGCCAGCAGGACGAGAAATCCAGCTGGGCTGGGCAGTGAGATCGCTTCTCCGAGACTCCTCCACTGGGCTCTGGATGGGTCCAGCAGAGACAGAAAAAACCTTCCTCCTCTCTCTGCACCCCGGGAGGCAAGCAATCCCACCTCCCCCTTGCCTCCGACTCCAAACCAGCCCACCTGGCCCCCGGGCCTCCGGCCCACTCAACGTAGCTAAATCGCCCATAAAACGAGTCAGCCAGTTCTTTTGTAAGGCTAATGCCAGCTCTTTTGTGAGACTAATCAATTCTCTTCCCCCCTCAACCTCTGTTTTCTCTTACAGGGAAAGCAGGGGAAGGGAAAAAATTCCTCTCCCAAACTTATAACCCATAACACAGTCCATTCACTCACTTGAGTTGGGCACCCCTGCAGCACAGAAACCCTTCTTGGGTGGGTCTTTCCTCTGGCATATGACCCTATAGGTAGACCAGATCCATCTCAGAAAGTAATTTAGCTTGCAAGCATTTAACAGTGAAACGTCTACAGTTAGAATCTGAATTTATATTAAAAAGGGTGTCACATTAGTTAACCACAATGTAAAGTGATTATCTCCAGTTAAGGCAGCTGGGCTACATCGGCTCCAAATATTTTCTGTGGCATTGTAAGTAAAATACACAGGTGGGCCTTGCTGTAGTGATTTCTCCTTTTCTTTTTACAACTTCAAATATTGAGGAAGTCAGCTCTCATAACTATACAAGCTTATTACTCGCCCTTCAAGTACTTGTCCTGAATTATCAAGCACAAGAAAATAATTATGCATGTTGATGACACAGCATGTGCTGTACGAGTAGCAAACAGAAGTGTTGCAGCACTGCATGTCAGAAAATATCCCACTCTCTTCCCAAGCAAGCACAGACAGCATATTTTACCTACCTGCAGCCTCCCCTTACTTGAGATTAGTCAGTTGGAGAAAAGAGAGAATATTGTCCTTGAACACTGATAAAAATTCTAGGCAGAAATCGTTGGATTTTCTTATCGTTAGCAGTTAATGAATCAGTAAGGGAAGTTATTATTTAAATAATTCCAATTTAATCTGAAAGTCATTGGTCACAAGATGCCCACTGGTAGAGAAGTGGAAAAAGAAAGTCATAGATACCAGTTGGATAAGTCTTGGACTGTAGAAAATTTGTTCCTAATTTTAAAAAGCTCCTTAATTTTCCACACAGCCTTAGCAAAATTGCAATGTGCTGAAGACAAGGAACAATAATGTGATAGCTGTGTAAACACTCTGGATTTGTTTTGCTTCCATTCAGTAAAATGCATTTTGCATAAGAATTAAATAGGTCTCATGCCACGTGAGAACAAGATTGAGCATTGGTAATACAGCTGTTCAGTATTATATCAATTGAATGTAGCCATTTGATTCCATCCTCTTGTATTTTTGTGTAGACAGAATTTTCTCCTACCGATGAAGTTAGCTAGCTAAGGATCTCAGGAATTGGGATGCTGGGTGGAAAGGAGAAGATATCTGACTTTGCCTGATGAAGGACATTCCACTTCAGATAGATTTCTGTTTGCCTTGAAATCCCGGTACTAACAGGAGGTGAGCATGCTTTGCAAAATTCTGGGAGCTTCTCAGCTGTCCCTCACTAGACCTTGAGCTTTATGCTCTAGAATGATAACAAAGTCATCTTGAAAATCCATCATCACACAAATATCTAGATTTAAACCGTTGCTGGAATTTTTACAAGGTGCTATGGTTGCTGAGAATCTGTATTTGACCAGCAGACAAGTCCAGGCAGTTATCCACTACTTGTTTGGACAAGTTAGTTGTCATGGAAAACTAGCATTACGCTCCCTCTGCTCTAGTGTATCTTTAAACACTCTCTACAGCTCTTATGTTCTCTAACAAATCTTTTCACTCTTCAAAAATAATTTTAAAATTTCACTATGGACAAAGAAAAAACCTGAGAATTAGAAAAGGCAGTCAGATTAAAAACTAACCAGTTCTGCTTGAAGTGTAGCAACTACTAAGTCCCTATGAAAGTAACATGCTTCCAAATACCCTACATTTAAAAGATACACAAAATTATAGAATGAGAGATGACAAGAATATAGGACAACAGCATCCAATTCTCTTTGTATGTAAAGTTTTCTCCTCATTTCATCTCTTAAATATCAGTGACAAAACAACTTAGAAGACACAAACGACCACTGCAAATCAAAACAGTATCCAAAGGCGTGGTTACCTATTGGCCAGGCAACCAACACTTGTACTACTGTGTCCCTGAATTTATGAGGAGTGAACGCAGGAGCGTTTCCCTTTGCTGCCCTGGGAACAAAGCGGCCGCAGCGCAGTCGCTGCCAGGCCCGGGCGCGGTTGTGCCTCCGCGCGGGCGCCGCCCGTCAGGGGCCGCTGGGACACCCGCGGGCCGCGAGGCCAACATGGCGGCGTGTGGCGCGCACGGCGCGGCGGGGCCGCGGTAGAGGCTGCGGGCAGGATCCCGCGGGGTCCTGGCGCTCCGCCCGCCGCGGGCCGGCCTGCGGAGCGGGCGCGGCTGGCGGTGCGTGGGGATCGATCGCGGCTCGCTCGGGGGCCGGGGTGGGGCGAGGGCTCTCGCTTGTCGCTCGGGCGGCCTCGGCGCTGGGGGAGGGGCTGCGGCGGGGGGCGCCGGGCCGGGCGGGCGAGGGGCGCGGGGCCGGCGCTGTTTCCCCGCGCCGCTGTCCCTGTGGCCCGCCGGCCCCTCCCCCCCCGCGTTCGGCGGCCGCGGTGAGTCAGCGCCGGGCCCCTCCCGCCCGTTCGCCCCCCGCGGTGACTCGGCGACGGCGCTCCGGGTCATGCTCAGGCATGTCGGGCCGGGCCGGTGCGGAGCTAAGCCCAGACTTGCCTCCTGCTGGCAGCGCTATATAAGGCCCGGCCCAGCCCGACTCGACCCAGACGCCGCCGCTGGAGCCCGGCGCGGGCTGTGCGGGGCACCGAGGTGAGTGGGCTCCGCCGGCGTGGCTGCTGCCGCCAGCCCGGGTTGTGTCGCTGTGTGCCACGTTCTGAGCTGGTTCTCCCCTCAATTGCAGGCAAATGTGCAATACGAAGATGTCCTCCCTTACGGATGCCTCCGCTGTCACCCGTTCGGAGCAAGAGGCGCTGGTCAGTAGCTCTGTTGGACGCGCGAGTTTTATCATGCTTTTTACAGAGTTTTAGCTGCTAATTTAGAAGAACCACTTTTTGCAGCGAGCGTTGGTTGCAAAAAAACCAGGAAATCCGGCTTTGAAGGTGATGTCTCTGATCCTGTAATTGTGAAGCAAATGTTATTCATGGTTTAGAGTTGAGGGTGACGGTTTAGGTCTAGACTCTGTTTCCTGGAGATCTACGATGGGTTTTGCTTTCTTTTAATAAAAAGGATCTTACCATCCGATTTGATCGTGGTAAGTATTTCATGGTGGGAGTTGTTAACAGATCATAACTGAAGAGTTGTGGAAGATCTCCGTTGTGTGAACTGTACTATTTGTGAAATAATCTGAAGGTTTTCTACTTTCTCCTCTATTGGAATTCATAAGCAAGTTGTAAGAAGAGTCTTCATTTATTTTTATGGCTTTACATGTCCAGGGTTTCCATGATACAGTGGCAGTTCTGCTGCCCTGATTTTGTACTTAAGTTTTCCTGAGAATGGAAGGCTGTTATACCTGAAAGACGAGTTAAAAACAGCACATGTGCAATGATGTTTGGATGGGGCTGCCATGTGTAGAAGGATGAAGCTTAAAAGGGTAGACTTACAGTAGAATTTCAAAAAAGCAAAATAGCAGAACAGCAAAAACTGTTGATTTTTTTTGTTTGTTCGTTTCTTCCTTTTTTTTTTGGTAAGTCATCATATTGTGATGTTACGGTCTGCTGTCATATCTGGGAGGCCAAAGAATTCATACTTGTAGGAGTCAGGAAGAGAAGTCTGGGGAGTAGAAATGGGCTTAGTTGTGGATTCAGAGATCTGAAACTGTCTTCTTATGCTTAGCTGTCAGTAGTGCTTTAATAAGTTTCTGTTTGCTTTCTTTATGAAACTGTAATATGTTCCGCATGTTCTAAATAATTCCACCCTTAGGAAGGGGTGAATAGACATCTAATGTTGTCCATAAGCTTGATTATTGTTTTTATTATATGTAATTCTTGCAACTAATCTCTTGTTAATGCACTAACTAACGCTTAAAGTTGGTTTTAGCAGATCTTTAAAATGAAATGCAGAAAAGTTCCCCTCTTCCGCCCTTCCCTTAAGCATTTATTCCTTGTCTTGTGATATTTTGTTCACACTTCCCTATATTTTCTTTTTTTTACATTCAGTATTTTTTTTGTATATTTTATTTTGTGGACTATATCAGGATAGCTAAATATTAGCCTATTCCTAGAATGGTTATGCCATTGTTAAAGGGGCAACCCTGCAATATACTGCACTGGTTCCACAGTGGTTCCACAGGGACGCACTTTGAAGTTATGGCAGCCCCTGCGTCTGGTTCTCGTGTGCTGCACTGGTGCTGGCACAGCTGTGTGGAACAGTGCAGTGAACCAGATCAGGACACTGCTCTGGCCAGAAGGAAAAAAAAAAAGGTGTATGTATGGGGAAGTGATTTTTTTGTTGTTGTCGTTGAACTTTTCCATCCTCTACCTCAGAAATTGTCACAGCCTGACTGCAGTTAAAACTGCTGGCACAGTGGATGGGTGGGAGGCCATTGTGGAGGTAGGCATGAGTCAAGTATGATGAGGAGGACAGGGTGTGCTTGTCCCAGCTACGAAAGGTCTTCACAGATAAAGCAGCCCAGTTGGCAAATGTAAAACCAAAACCCCAGAAACTGTTGCAGAAAGAGCTGGACCAGTGTTTTGCTTTATGACTTGTACTCTAGACCTGACAGTCATGAAGGTGCTTTCCTTCCTCCCTCCCCTTTGGGAGTCATTATAATGGTTAAAGAAGTGAAGCTGAATTCCCCAGGACCCAGCCCTGTACTTGGAACTAATAAACAAATCCATTAGCTCAAATTAAGGAATCTCTGCTTACCAAGGTGTTGAGGTTTAAGCGCAGCCAGCAACTCTGTAGCACGGAGCTGCTTGCTCCCCACCCCCCTGTGGTAGGATGGGGGAGAGAATCAGAAGAAAAGGTAAAACCTGTGGGTTGAGATATGAACAGCTTAATAATTGAAATAAAGTATATTAATAATAAAAAAAAAGGAGAGTAGTAAAATTAGAGAAAAACAAGTGAAGCACAATACAGTTGCTTATCACCTGCTTACTGATGCCCAGCCAATCCCCAAGCATCAATCAGTCCCTCCCGACCAACTCACCCCATGACATTTTGTGGTATGTTCAGGTCAGCTGAACATACTTTGGCCAGTTCAGGTCAGCTCTCCTGGCTATGCTCCCACACAGTTTCTTGTGCACCTTCTCACTAGTAGAGCACGGGACACTGAAAAATCCCTGATTTAGTGTAGCTACTTAGCAACTACAGAAACATCAGTGTGTAGTCAACATTATTCTCCTGCTAAATCAAAAAACACAGCACTGTACCAGCTACTAGGAGGAAAATTAACTATCCCAGCTGAAACTAGGAGACAACAAAAGATGGGTTTGAGCTAAGATGTACCTTTGAGCTAAGGTGTATGAAAAGTTTAGTATCATTTTGTTCATGTTATTTGCTTTTTAAGTTTTAACTTTGCAAAGTGAAAAATTTGATCGTGGATTTGTTTTCATATAGTTGTGTGTTTGCATGTCAGATTAATACAGAAGGAGGAACGTAACCTGTTTAAGTTACGTTTTTTTGGTGGATAATTGGTGCTGTTTTTCTACTTGCCCACACAGGTTAAACCAAAGCCACTATTGTTGAAGTTGTTAAAGTTAGCTGGTGCAAAAAAGGATACTTTTACTATGAAGGAGGTGAGAACTTTTAATCACTAAAGGTAGACTACAGTGAGTACAGATACATTGTTTTGTTTTGGGTGACTGGGGGCAGTATTATCTAGAAATTATTGAGACAAGATGTTGTGTTTATTCTCCTGCTGTAACTAGTTTTTTAGCTAGTTTCTCAAAAATGTGAACAAAAATTTCTGGTGATTAGAATAGCAGTGTTCTTGGGGAATGATAGATGAAAATTTGTCAGCTCAAAGGCATTCAGAGTTTGAAGAGCAAATTTCAGTGTATTTAATGTGCTTGTTCTCTTAATCTTGAAACAGCAACCTGGATTTTTAATGTCTGTGTATTTCATTTATTTTACAGGTAATATTCTATATTGGACAATATATTATGTCTAAACAATTATATGATGAAAAACAGCAGCATATTGTACACTGTGCAAATGATCTCCTGGGGGATTTATTTGGAGTAACAAGCTTTTCAGTAAAAGAACACAGGTAAAATGAGATTCTTTTCTGAGAGTCTGGTTGGGAAATAATGAAGAACACAATGCGTATGGCCTTTTTAAACTCTTTGCATCTTTGAAGATGGTAAGCTCTCTTCTATGATTCCATGTAGCTAACTTGCAACGATTCTTTCTTTATTCCCATTTAAGGAGACTATATTCGATGATTTCCAGAAATCTGATAGCAATCAATCAACAAGGTAAGCTAGTTTAGGAGGCCATTTTGTTTTGAGAAACAGCAGTAGGGAAAATATATAATGCATCTTGCAGGTAGTGATCAGATAAAGGTGATCTGTCCATTATTAGATATTTGGCTTTACCCACTGCTGTCCAGAGCAGTCATGAATAGTGACTCAAAGCAAACACTGTTTCTTCTGGGGGAGAAAAAAATTCTGAGCAACATTTGGGTAATTTTGTTGACTAGAACCAGAACAAACACAATCAGAGCTGAACAAAAAGAGTACTAAATTGAAAACTTAGTCATTTGCTTGTATTTGTTACAGCTAAAGCCCTCAACAGCATAAAAAGTTTTAATATGAAAAACTAACTTCTTGAACTTGTGCCAGCAATAAAGTCAGGGCAGATGCTGTTCATTTTTTTCTGTTAAAGTTCTGTTTTAATTTTCAAAACTGAATGTGGAATGTATTTAGAACTGGTCATCCTCAGCTACACTGAGTCTTGTTTTAAAAAGTCTGTATACTTTAAAAGAGTAGGTTTGTGGTAACTGTGCATAGACACTCCTTGAATGGAGAATTGTTATATACAGTCATCTGTCCTGCAGTATAAAAATGCTCAATATAGCTGTAATTTTTGCCTCATACAGAGTGTGAACAAACAATGGAAGCCATTTTGTAAATTGGCTTCTAAATCTTTATTAAGACACCCTTTGTTTCTGATTCTTCCTAAAGGCAAGTTCAGCTGCTGAAGATGGGAAACATGCTCTCTTTATTATCCCTATTGTTATGCTTGCAAACTAAAATTTATCTCTCAAATTTTTTTTTAAGAGTCTTTATTAATTCAGGGTCTGTCTGGTAGTAAGCATATACCATCAACAACAGCTATTTTTTCTTCTATTAATTGTCTTCTTAATTCAGTGTTCCCACAACATGATAGCTAGTAGAAAGCACTTTGTAGAGGAAGAAGTGTATTGCATTTCCTGCCTGTATTCTTTCATATCTGCAGAATCACAGCTCATGCACAGCCTTCATTTGAAGCCATTTATAATGAAATTCTGAGCTGCTTTGCGGTTGACATTTCTTCTTCTTTCTCCTCACGTTCCCACTTCAGTAATGTTACAGGGAAGGTGCTGCACACACCTGAAAGGCAAAGGAGCAGTGTGGTTTTTTCCATTGTTCCAAAATGTCTGAGGGTTAAGTTCTATTTAGAATTTACTTTTTGAGCCTGAAATTAACTTTTTCTGCTATGTTATTTTACGGGTTTTGGTTTGGTTTGGTTTCAGACTCTACACTTGGTGGCACACCTGAGGATGATGCTGGATCTCAGCTTGAAGAAGAAAATGTTCTTAAGGTGATACTTTAATTTTATTTTAATAAATGCTCTGAGTTGTAAATTCTGTTTAGTTTGCATGATAGTGTCAATGGTTTAGATGTAATTAGTTGGTTCTAGCCTTTTACTTTGCATTCCTGCTCAGGCTTACTCCTTATTTCTGTTAATCAGGAGTCTATGCAAGAGTTAGAAGAGAAGCAGACTTCATCGAACGTGACTTCCCGACCAACTACATCTTCTACGAGGAGGACACACAGTGAATCTGGTATGTGCAGATTTATGGTGCAGAGCTTTCAGCAGCATGAACACTTAGGGGGAAAAGTACATTCTGTTGCCTTGATGACTGGAAAGGTGCTGACAGATAGTATTCATGTTTCTCTGCTTATCTAAACCAAAATGTTCAGCCTCAAAATAAAAACACGATTCCTTGCATCGCTCCAGTGTCATGTTACAGTGACTTTGGATATGTTTAGGTAACTGATTGTTCATTAAGCACTTATTAAAACGTCTGGTGACTTGAACATCATATTTGCCTCCTTTTTGTCTTTGCTGTGGTTATTCAATAATCACTGGCAAATACATTTTCAAAATATGAAATGTTTCTTTTTATAATTAGCAATAACAAGCCAGTCAGCATAAACCTGAATAAGTTTCTCAGTGGAAGTGTTCTCTACAGTTCTACTTAAATACTAATTTCTTAGATTAGTTTGTTCCATCACTTATCTTACTTCATGACTTGGTGGTAGTAATTATCTGGGCAGTGATAACCTTCTGTCACTGCATAGAACATCTTCAGTTGCTTGGGAACATTTTTTCAGTTCCTCAGCTTTTGAGTAGTATTTTTTGTGTTCCTTGTAGGCCACTGTTATGTCAGTCAGTCCAAAAACTGTGCTGCGTTGCTGAGCGGTTTGCACTAAATTAAAAGATCGTTTTAATGTTGTAACTAAAACTAGTGAAAGGATGGAAAGCCTCAGTTAAACAGCACAACCTGTAATATTTAGGCATGACCCAGAGCACGTGAGGTGCTGTGTTGTGCTTACTTATTGTAGGTCTGTTTATTAACTCTTGTCTTTGCATCCGTTTATTTGTTACAACTTTAAAACTTCTTTTAATATAGTGTTTTTATATACACTTTTTTTCTAATTTATAGGAAATCTTCCTTTTAAACCACTATTCTTGTTAAATTGGGATAGTAGTGGCTCCTTTGGAGCCCCTTATATAGTGTATAGAAACCTTGTGGTGATACAGTATCAGTACGGCATGGAGCCATGGCAACTAAATGAGGACAAGGATGGACAGGAGCAACCCTTGGGCCTGGGGGCTCCAAGTTTGGTGGGGCTCTCAGGGCGGAAAAAAGAAAAGAGAGGGGCTGAGCCAAGAAGCACCAAGGGAAAGTAAGAGAAGTCTCAAAGTATGTACAAGTGTTTTGTTCTCTTTTCTTTTACAATGAAAGATTCAAGACTTGAAGACTCATGGATTGTCACAGTCTGTTTTGCAAGGCAAGGGAGAGGCTGGGCAATAGAGGGTGGGTGCAAAAGGCACCTGTGGCGGGGCAACAGGCTCATACCGAAGTCTGTTAAACCAAGTTTTCAGGCATCTTGGGGGGTTTTCACTCCACTGCACTTATATACTGATTTTACAGTACCTTTTTTAATAAAATTGTTTCTTACCAAACACTCTAAAAGTCAGTGGAACTGAATTTTGACTTACCTATCCCTAAAATGCTGCACTCCAACTCCTTATGCTGCTTCTGGTGGTTGTTTCAAAATGTGATGTATTTAAAAAGCATTGTCTTTTTGCCTTCAAACCAAGCATACTTAATAGGCACAGCATAAAGCAATGCTCTCAGAGTTCAATTTTTACATAGTATATCTTGAAGATTTTTTTGCTAGTGTGAGTTGAAAGTTATAACAGTTTGTTGCAAAAATCTTGTTGAGTGAGTACAATTACATATAGTGGAACTAATCACTGGTAAATTTGTTCGGGTGTCTGAAACTTGAACCTGAACTTACCTTGCTTAGCACAAGGAATTCTGTGTGCATGTGACCTGGGAGCTAGTTGCTCTGTCTCCCTACAAATTCTGGGATGGACTCAGAAGCTCTCTGAAAGTGCCCTTCTGTCTACTGACTGTAGAGGGAGCAAGGACAATTAAGATCTATTTCATAAAATTAGGAGGGGTATAATGTGTCATGCGTGGAGTAAAAATTCTTCCAAATTTGTGATCATTTTATTTCCTGCATGTGGATACTGCTATTCTCAAGCTGTACTGATGGGGCAAGTGGGGAAACCCAGCCCCTGAAATACTGGCTTCAGGAATGTTTCACACTTTACATGTTTATCAGTGTTATTGTGTCTTTTTGAATAAGTTTTGGTGTCTTTACTTTTTTCCTCAAGAAATAATACTGAGTTATCTTATTAGATTTCTTTATAAGTAAATTATATTTTAAATTCCGTTAAGAATATTCGAAACTGCACATTGCATAGATGTTTTTGGAGTAATAAAAATTCTTGAATATGCCCAGAAGAAAATTCTTCAGATGGTCTGCATAGTGACAGAAGAAAGCGACACAAGTCAGACAGCATTTCGTTGACGTTTGATGAAAGTCTCTCATGGTGTGTAGTCAGTGGTCTGTGCCATGAAAGAAGCAATAGCAGTGATTCAACAGATTCTCTTTCCATTCCCGTAAGTCAAAGTATAAATATAAAATATCTTTATGGTACAAATTTTGCAGATGCCACAAGTGCAAATATGCATCTGAAAACATCAAGATCTTAATTAAAAGCAGCAGTGCCTCCAGTGGTGTCAGAGGAAGGAAAAGAGGATGAAAGAAAAGATAGTGTGTGGGTGGGGTCTTTCATAGATCTGCTGACAAAGCTGAAGGGAAATTTTTTTAAATATTAACTTTGAGTTTTCTTTAAAACCAAGACCCTTACACAGCGTTGAAAAAACTGTCAGATATATTTTGTGTTTTAAAGTAAGTGTTTCTTACTTGCTAAGAGAAGAAAAGCAGTCACAGGTGTTCCATAATTCAGAATTAGTTGGTAGTTCTGGTACAGCCTGGGTAACTGTACTCAGTAGTATGTATGCTGATGATACACTGTATTCATTTTTCAAGCCTCTACTGTTTCATATTGTTGTTTTCAACAAACACCAAGGCAAGTTACCTGTGATGAGATTAAGTTGTGAAGAGCTAAACTAACAGTATTCCTGGTCACATATTGTATTCTGAATTGACAGAACTAATACCGTATCTTCAGTCTTCCTATTTTATAGGAAGACTGTTTAGCCACAGTCTCAAATTAAAAGGTTAGCAGAGTTGATGAGAACAGAGAATTTAATGACATGCAGCCAAAAGACAGCATCTTCCTGTATCTGTTTTTTCACTTTTTAGGAGAGCCTATGTGAAACAGTAACTGCAGTCTTCAAGCTGGCTATAGGCTGACTGCAGCCTCTTATTACAGAGTCAACAAAAGGCTTTCAGATCTAGCTTTATTTTTACCTACCTGTAATTTATCTCATAGAAGATGTACTGTCTAACAGTCGCTGGTCTTATTTCTTCCATAGCTAACTAAACTGAGTAACACAGTTTTATCTTAAGAGCTGCTTTAACAGTACTGGTTATGTATACAGACCGGTGAGGTTGAATATGTACTTTCTCTTTTCTTCCAGGATCTCGATGCTAGTTCATTAAGCGAAAACTCTGATTGGTTTGACCGCAGTTCTGTTTCAGACCAGTTCAGTGTAGAGTTTGAAGTTGAGTCCATTTATTCAGAAGATTATAGCCCTTATAATGAAGAAGGGCAGGAGCTCACAGATGAAGATGATGAGGTACATATTTATTTTGCTTGGGGGGTTTTTTGACCTTGGGAGGTTGGTGAGAGGAAAATTTGCTCGTTAAATCAAACTACATGTCAGTGCAGTTGGGTCACCATTATACACGCACCAGGAAGTAACTCAGACGGTGCTGAGGCTTTCTGCAGGCTCTGAAACAGGCTATTTAGGAAAAGTCTGTGTGTTTAACTTCACTCAGTAGCTGTTGGAGTCAAAGGCAGCATGCATACTTGAGTCTTTCTGTATTTTTAGTTATAGAAGTATGTGTTGACCTTTGACATTACTTGATATTGAATGAAAACTTACCTAGTAACTCTTTGCAAAGGGATGCTTCCAAGTCATTTGCATCTGTGAATACAAATGTTTCATATTGATGCTGAGCTACAGTTTTAGAAATTTTTATTAGTAGGCAAGAAGACAGTAAAACTGTGATTACCATAATTTTCAAGAGATCTAGATATATGGAACGTCAGGAATTAAGTGAGAATTTATGTGGAGGTTTTTTTCTGGGTTAGTTTTCTGTTACTTTAGAGAGGTTAATCAGCCATGGCAAGATTGGGTAAGTACCAGAGGGACATACCAGGGACATACATGACTGTGGTACTTGAGAGGCTGAATGGACTGACTGTACTGATGTACACCGACTTGTAGTGTAGTGCTGCAGAGCTGCACCCTGAGATAAGACAGTAATTTGGAGAAAGAAAGGATTGGGGTGTGCCGCTACTCCCAGCAGTAGTTTTGAGAATTGCAGAATGACTGAGGTTGGAAGGGGCCTCTGAAGATCATCTTATCCCCCAGCCCTGGCTAAGACAGAGCTGATTGCCCAGGTGCATGTCCAGATGTGTTTTGAATATCTCCAAGGATAGAGTCTTTCAGAGATGATCAGGGCAACTGTGCCAGTGCTCGGTCACCCACAAGTAAAAAGTGTCTGCTGACATTCAGAGGGAACCTCCTGTGTTTTAATTTGTACCAGTTGCCTCTATTCCTGTCGCTGGCCACCACTGAAAAGAGCCTGTCTCCCTCTTCTTATACCCTCCTTTCAGCTATTTATATATGTTGATAAGACACCACCTGCCCTGAGCCTTCTCCAGGCTCCTCTGGAGCTCCTCTAATCTGTTTAATAATCTTAGTGGTCCATCACTGGAGACTCTCCAGTAGCTCCCTGTCTGAAAATCTATAAGGTTAAAAATGTTTTGGGTTTTTAATTGAATGCCAGAAAACAGTTACATCATTTTTTTTTCCCATTTAAACCAGGTTTATCAGCTGACTATTTACGAGGATGAAGATAGTGATGGTGATTCATTTGATGGAGATCCAGAAATTTGTCTAGCTGTGAGTAAAAACTTGTCAAGTAAAACATCATAAATTGGGTGAACTGGCAAAATAGAGATCAAGAAGTATAGATGAATTCTGTTGCTACCAGTGAATTTTTTTTTAAGAATCAAATTGACTTTTTCTTATATGCTTGAAGGTTCCAATACAATATTTTAATTATTGAACATGTAATTATTAACCTTGATTTTTTTATAACTAGTAAGCTTCCTAAAGGAAATAATTTTCAAAGGAAATTATTTGAAGTCTAAATCTGACTTTCTGCACAAAATGAAAAAATCTTGGTCATGTACATTTAAAAACTTTTCCTATAAATCAGAATACCTAGTTTTATTGTCCGTCCTGAATGAAGTTATCTCTGACATACAGATGTGAAGGCAAACCTTTTTTCAGAACAGTAATATAAAATTAAGAGAGGCTTTTTCTAAATTCTGTGAGACCGTTTTTGAAGTGTGGGAAGAATTTAGGGTCTTGAAGCACACAGTAGAATTAAAATGCAGGGTACCTCATTTATATTTGTTTTTCACAGTTAAACCTTAAATAAAGTTGTTTTCCAGAACTGTCTGAAGTGTTCCAGTCCCTTAATGGTCTGTAGGACTGAGGGACATTATTCTGTTTGTGAAAAACAGGGCCGGCCACCTTCTGAAAACATAGCAGTACTTGTGTGTGGTAAAAGAGGCCTGTATGTTATTTTTAGGATTTAGATTAGCTCTTTTAAGCTTTTGATGTTACTGATGTTATTCAGGACTCCTCTAAATAATTTTTGGGTGGTTTTTATGTTTTGATTCCCCCTAGGCTTGCATTACTTCTAAGAATTAAATGTATTTTTAACAAGATATAGTGGCTTATTTTCAGTGTAGCCTACAGAGTATCCACTGAGATGGTGATGCAAGATTTTTTTCCCCCCCACCACTTTTTTCACTTTTTTTTTTTTAATTGGCTCTAGTTTTCTCTTGTACCTCTGTGTCAGAGTGCCCTCATCTGGCCATTTTGCACACCAACAGCTTAGCATCCTACAGGTGAAAGGTCCCTTCAGTCCTGAGTAGTTCCCATTTAAAAAGTCCATTCTCAAAAAGAAGAGGAACCATTTTATTAGAAGTTGACCATTTTATTAGAAGTTTTTTGTGAGGTTCTCTGAAGATTTTTGTGGTCTGGCTTCTGCAGTTTTGCATAAGAAATAATAAATCGTTATTGTTCTAGTCACAAACCTACTGCAAAAAGAAAGAAAATCAGAGTTGTTTTAAAATAAGAACTATTGTAGTCTAGAACTGTAAAATGGGGCCAAAACACTGAATGGCATTTTAAAATTATAAACAAGTCAATAGCTCAACATAATTATTATTTTGACAGTAGTAAATTGTTTACAATCTCTGTATACTTCAGTTGTAAGTGTTCCAAGTAGCTTAAGCTGTTCCAATCTTTAATTCACTAAAGGATTTTTGGAAGTGTCCTCAATGTAGCAAAATGAATCCTCCACTTCCACGACATTGCCACAGATGCTGGGCCCTACGCGAGGATTGGCTTCCAGATGAAAAGAGTGAGAAATTGGAAAAGAGCAAATCAGAAGGTTCCTTCCCTGCAGAGTCTGAAGAAGGTTTTGATGTTCCTGACTGCAAGAAAACAAAAATGACTGAAGATAAAGAACCAGCTGTGGATGAGAATGAGGAGAAAGCAGTACAAATTTCCGAGTCCCAGGAAAGTGAAGATTATTCCCAGCCATCAACATCAAGCAACATGTTCTGTAGCAGTCAGGAGGACTATAAGGAACCTGAGAAGAGAGAAATGCAAGACAAAGAGGAAAACCCGGAATCCAGTCTGCCTGTTACCAGCATAGAGCCCTGTGTCATATGTCAGAGCAGACCTAAAAATGGCTGCATAGTACACGGCAAAACGGGACACCTCATGTCATGTTTCGCGTGCGCAAAAAAGCTTAAGAAGAGGAACAAACCCTGCCCAGTGTGCAGGCAACCCATACAAATGATTGTACTAACTTATTTTGAGTAGGTGGATGTTGACTGGAAAGCTGCAAGAGAAACTATTTTTGTATGCTTATTGGAAAATTAGTATTTTGGGTCTCTTTACATTTGGTATGAAAAATAATTGCTGACATAAATGCACTGGCGTTGTTCAGAGGTTTGCCCAGTAGTCGTAAGTCAACTTGGAGATTTTCAATCCTTGTCAGTAGAAATAACCAAGTCCTGTAAATCACCTCCCTCTCCAGGTGTTTAATGTTCCATGCAAGTTAGTGACGTTTCTTTTACTGGATTAAATACACATATTAAAAACCCCAGTTCAATGACTGTGAGAGGAGACACATGTTGAAGCATTCACTTATGCGAGTTAAGAAGGTAGAAGATTCTCCAGGTTTCAGTATTTGTTGCCTGGTGAAGACACCAGGCTCAATCAGACCATACTGAATAAGTCAATAAAATAAATAGTCTTGTCTTAAATTCCTCCAAGTAGGCAAATTATGGGGGAGATATTACCAGGAAGTGGAGAAAAATGTGATACAAATTAATTTAAGGCTTTGGAAAAAGAGAAGGGTATTGTATGTCTTTTATTTTTATAGTGTGCATTGTAAACTTCAGGGCTGTGTGTCCCCCTAAGAAGTCATTGTTCCAAGTTCAGTCATACAGTTCTCTCTTAAATGTCTTAAGAAACTGACATTTTCAATGCTTTGTGAGTTTGGAGGTCTGTACTATCCTGAGTATGCTTGTTATTATTAATTTAGCAGCATGAGAGAAGACTTGAACAGGCAAGATAAATGAAGGAGGAGTCTCATCAGGCAATATTAGGGGAATAATTCTCTGCAGTTGTTTTTGACTTCAGCAGAACATTGACTGGAATAAAAATAGAAAAAAATTCCATCTTCATCTGCAGAAACAAATAAGCTGTGCAGTTCTAGATCACATAGACATTCCTTAAATTCGGTAGTCTTTCCAAGTCAAACTGTTCTTTTCTGTATCACAAGAATTCTGAAAATCCATTGTGGGGTGTTTGGTGAACTCAAAATTGGTCTCATTGGACCTGTCCTTTACTGCTTTTAGTTCTTGTCCCTTCACTGTACTTTGTCAAAAACTTGGTGAAACTTACCAGTTCTGTTCTCAAGGGGTCTGCTGACTGACTGGGTTCTGAGGGGTGTTCAGGATAGTTCTCTGGAGCTTGTGTAAGCTCTGGTATCTTCCTGTGGGATACGGTAAAAATCACTCAGCTGTATTTCACATGGAGAGTTTCTGTACCAGTGAGTGATATTTATTCCTTTGGAAAACTAGATTACAAAAGGAACTGTATGATTTTAGCACCTTTTATTTTTACAGGTAGTTGCTAATCATCTGCCTAACAGGGAATGGCAAATAAGCAGTCAGGGGAGTTCCAAGAATGGAGATGTAGCCTAAATGAATAAATTGCATTGTGTTACTATCCTGCAGGCCAAGGTTCAGCAGCTTTCCAACACCACCAGTATAAAATTGCTGATGCCTATGTGCTGGCACAAAGACTTTTACTGCTATCATTACGTCCAGGTAATGCCTGAAGTGCCTAGGAAAAGGAGATGTACAGGAGAGACTTGGTAAATCCCTGGTTGTGACTTGCCTGCAGAGAAATACCTTCATAGGTAAAGTCTGAATTATTGGGATCAGTCACATTTTGTTCGTACATTTGAGCTGTTTTGTTTTTTTTTTTAAATACCACTAAAAGATCCTGGTGTGTCTGAAGTTCTAGCAATTCATTTTAACTAAACAAATACAAACCCCAGGTGTATACATTTTGTCAAATTCTTAATTGCAAGTTTCTTGCCCCCTGCAATTTGTAAAGCAACAGCAGGTATCTGGAAGTTCTTGGAAGATTTTTGGTCAGCAGAAACCCTTCATGGGTTTTATGGGATTTGATAATCCTTCAGCCTGAGATGGAGAAGGCCTTCGGGTAGATATTTAATTTTTTCAAGCAGGGATGCTAATAGAGGGCTACCTGCCTTAATTTACACTTCCTAATAATTTTTCTTCATTTTTGATTTTATTTATTTAGCTGCATTGAGGCTTTCAGAGGCTCTTCACTGCATCTGCAGGTGAGACCAAACAGTGGTCTTGTTGTGGTCAGGGATCTGCAGCTGAGAGAAAACTGTAGACATATATGCAGAAGGCTCGATAACACGGGGACTGTACATTAAAAGCCTCATCTATAAAAAGCTTTGTCCATTACACTGTCTCCCATGTCTAAGGTTTTTCAGCATGATCCCTTCTCTGCAGTCACTACCATGGCTGTGTAACTGCCATGCAGGGGGAGCAGCTGCCCTTACCCCGTTCCTACTGGGACAAATTGTACCATCCCACTCTTGTTATTCTATTACAATCAATCTCCTTAAGTGATCTCCATACTTAAAAAAAAAATTTCATCTCAGAAAGGGAGGTATGGCCAGAGTGGTGATCCTTGCTGTTCACAATCACTCACCTTTAGGTTTATTCTTCTAAAGCAATTTCCCAGTAACACTTTCTGTTTTGGTAAAAGATAGACTGAGACCATACAGCATAATGAATTTTCCCTTTTATGCTTTAAAATTTTAGAATAGCCCTGGAAATACCCTCCAATCCATACAATGGTGAGGAAATGTGGAATTTTGATTTCTGCATCTGCAAATCACTGTGTCAAATCTTTTTGCTTCGGGTTAGATTTTTCTGGCTTAATATTATTCTTAATGACCTCTAGTACAACTAGAATTTGCTTGGTTTGGGTGCACACCTTACAAATCGGGGAATGATGAGAGTTGGTGTCTGTTCCAGTTCCAAGCGGGGCCTGGGGCCCAGGGGGTGTGTACGTGACACAGGACCCCAGTGCTGTGGCCCTGACCCCGCGCTGGAGCCTTTGGCTCTGCCTCCCCCTCATCGCGTGGGCACGAGCAGCCACCACCCTGTTCATTCTGGCCTGTAAGCAACATTGCTGGCCTTGGGCAGAGGCACAAAAGTCAGCAAAATTTTGGTACAAAAGTTGTTGTTGATAGTTATTGTTACTTGGTGTTTGAGATCCTTATTTAATATCGCACACATTTTGATCTTTAATTTATTGCCATTTGTAAATATTCTTGTGCTCACAGTTAATGTTTTGAGCTCTAATTTATTGAATTAGCCTACTGGCATATGTGTAGTCATATAAATATGCTTACTTAAGTAAATAACAAGAAAAAATATTTAAGAAATGTAGCATTAAAATACAGAGAAATATTCGGATTATATTCAGATTTAAGAAGGGCACAGAAAGATTTATGGCTTTGTTTCCTTTTTTCCGTCCCTTAAAACAACTTCTGCGTTGCACTTGAACATTTATTAGAGATGAAGCTGGTGCAACATGAGCACAGTGAGAATATTTTGGTGGTGTTTGTTTTCCTTTGGAATGCTTTTGTATCCCTGAGTACAGCCAAGGAGCTGACTGGCTGCTTCTGGTGCTGGTAACATCAGGGGTGATGGTCTGGAAGATGCAGGACAGCGATGAGAGATTTCAAGGTTAATTTGCAATGGGTGGTAATGGCTTTTGCTTTTTGACATTTGACCAGGAAGGTTGCAGGGAAGGCCAGACAGATGCTGACAGGATGCAACTACACAATTTTCAGTAATTGTCTTAATCTCTTCCTTCTTGCCCATTGTCTATCTTCCTTCAGATAGACAACAGTAAAGTATAAATGGTGCAAGAACTCTCATTTATTCTTTTTTATAAAGTACGATAAACCTACTTATTGTATGTACTTATTTATTAGTATTGAAATTCAATTCTTGACCCAAGGAAGTGAAGTGCAAAGTGAGGGGTACTTAAGGCTGAAACCGAAGTAGCTGGGTGGGTGATTGTATTGAACATTCACACTGCAAGGTGATGCTCTTTGTTGAGCAGCACCCCTTAGTCTTGTGTTAGTGTTCCTAAGGAGCACATGGCAGAAATGTGTGCCATGTGTGCCATGCTGTGCTGTGCCACTCCCATCAGCAGGTTGATTTAGAAAGGGTAAAAGTGCTTCAAACTTTTAATTGGTGAAAAGCATTACATCTGTTCTAACAGTGTGGCACTCCATACCTGAGTCAAAGGCTTATCTTGAGTTGTTGTTTAAAGGTTGCACAAGCAAAACAAAACTGAGGCTTAAGGTGTCTTTGAAAAACTTGCAGTTAGTGAATGTGAAAAAATGTTGCTTTTAACTAAAGTGTGTGCTTTTTTTTATTTGTAGCACAGATGCACTGAAAGCTTCAAGTGAATGCCTCTCTAGTGTATCTGTATCTATATTCTACATGTAAAATTTGTCAGTGATTCTTAAAAAGGTGGTGTCTCACCTTTTGAGTAAATGTTACTTTAGCTTAACGGCCTGATTTTAAAGGACAGTTCTTGGTTGTGAGCCAAATTATTGGCTGTCTACATGATGATTACTTAACATCTAAAATACCAATAGCTTTTCTAAAACCAGAGTCTTTGTTGTCTGACTACATATAGCTGGAATGACTATTAAACAGAGTAGTTCACAGTGAATTGAAATAACTATGCAATTTTGCCACTACTCCTAGATGAACACGCTTTCAAGAGCTTGTAATGGTGTGTACCTTCTGGCTACCCAGTGCACATACAACCACAGTCAGTAACCATTAAAATACAAGTATCCACTCCACTTGCACAGTGCATAGATCCCTTTATGAAAACTTTCATGTGTGTTGCATTTATCTTTTGGTTTTCAGTTGTTCCTTTTCTAGGGAAACTGAGTACTGTGTTCCATTTAAAAGCTTTAAATAAAGATTTCTTCATATACTCTTTGGTGCTCTTTATTTTTTCATGTCAATGACTTGATTGCTGGAAGTTCTGGTACTTGGTTTTCATACCGGTTCTTGTCCCTGTAAGCCAGCATGCAGACTCTTTCTGCCCTCACTCACCTGCTGAACTGTTGACTTCTCTCAGATTTCTTGGGTTTTGGGGGTTTTACACTCAAGGCATCTCTAGTTCTTTCTGCTATAAGTGACAGGATCAGGAACAACTATCAGTGGTGGGACTTAGTGGATCACTTACTTCTCTGACCGATAAACAACCCACAGCAGATCAGAGAGTGACAAAACATAGAAAATTGAAATGGATATGATGAAGACATTAAAAAAATAGTATCTTGCACATGCAACCCTCATTCCCAGTAAGCAATGCTGTTTCATGTTCTGAAGTGCATTCACACACTGAATGCAGCTGGCTGGCAGACAGGTAAGTAGCTGATGCCCAAGCTCCACAGCCCAGCTGGTGGGTCCTGGTGTGACAGACAGCAGTGCCTCAGGAAAGATTTAAAAAGGATTAACTGCATTCCTGCATTTTTTATTTACTGTATACAGGAAAAGATTGATGTTTCCAAAGATAATCTCTTCTGCTTTGCTTTTGAAATTGCGTAAGAAAATTACTGGCAGATAAAGTTTTAAAATAAACACAGGAGATGGTACTAACTGGCTTTTCTTGATAAATTTTGTGTTTATTGGACAGCTTCAAAGCGCCCAGAGGATGATTCACAACTGGCCAGGCAAAAGGAATCTGCTAATCCTGCCTGCAACATCTCAGCCCAGCCAGGGGAGTGCTGAAACCAGCCTTTGTAACTGGATCTGGTTTGTGCCTTGCTGAGTATGCCTCCCAGCTCCTGGCATGGGTAGTAGCAGGGCTCTGAAACTACTTAAGCAATATAAAGCCGCTGCTAAAGCTATTCAAAGAATCTGAATTGTCTGTGATTGTTCCACACCAAATTCAGTTAAAAATAGACAAGGTATAAAGCTGTCAGTGACTGTTTTCACATTGTTTTCAGCAGCTCTGCTGTAGGAGAACACTTTTTTCAGAGACACAAATTCCTCCCTTTTCCCTGATGGTGCAGATTATAATCCAGTTTCCAGGAGCGTGGCCCTTCAGCACATACTTACACTTCATTTCCATCTTTTTGTCTTAAAACCTGTCTGTGTTACTGGTCTTACCTCATTTGAGCCCTAAGCAGTCTCATCTGTCCAGGTAAGAAAAAGCATATTTTAAAATACCATTCCTCATTTATAGCAATGGCTTTATTATGAGAAAATAGGATTAATCTGATCACTTACAGTTGTGTGGCACCTTAGCTGTTGGTTCAGAGAGGAACCTGAGCTTGCATAAAACATTTGCAGTACAATCCTCAACTTTTTTTTGAATTCAGGCAAAGTCTTGAGAATGTATTTGTACTTTCTGTGTTGAAATTCTACAGTTATCTCCATCGGCTGTACAAAATTTCTTCAGAGTAAAATACTTACATAGAAAAATATGATAGTCTATTACAATTAAAAATATAGTCAAACATTTGATCGTCAACCCAGTATTTTACAAAATACAGTGAACATGATTGTGAATCTGAGAATTTGGTTTATAAAAACAGACATTCTTTTGCATATACAAAGCCACATTTGTACAGGTGGATTTTGCCTGGCCATAACATCTCATTCCTGACTTTATTTTAAAATTACAAGCAGAGCAGTCATTAAAACCAAGACATGTAGGGTTGGTTTTACTGCAGCTGAAGCCCGTGTGAGCTCTTGGTACAGGGGAATTTTGGGACATGAAGCAACTCTTGGTCTGATAGAGACCTCTGAGAAAGAGAAGTCCTGTTTTAAAGCACTGAAGTTACCAGTGTTGTCAGGTATTTCCACTGTCTTCAGCATCGATTTAAATCCTGGTATAGTAGCCTAGGAACAAACACAAAAGTGTTCTTACTTGGTGTTGAAACATCTGAGTTCAGCTGTGAAACAACCAGAGTCTATCTAATGTGCTCGTTTACACTTTAAATGTACAAGAAAAAATGTTCTAAATACACGTTTGGAAACATGGGATGAAAAAAGGGTAAAGTTTCCACGTTACAGCAATAAGACTTTTTGTACAAGAGAGGGCATCCTGCAGTGATGCTCAAGTGTAAGCCCTCGGCTGACAGCAGGCAGAGCCTACACTACATGGATGTTCTCTAACACTTCTGCAGAGAAACCATTTTGACACAAGGAAATAACTGTCACCAGTGGTGATGTCAGCCTGGTGCTGCCCTGATCCACCTCCTCACCCTGAGAGCTCTGTGGTTTGTTTCAAACACCTCAAGCTCAAGTCGCTGTGCTCCAGACGCTCATCCCCACTGGCTCCACCATCAAGGTCAGATGGGTGCTTATCTCTGGACGTTGAGGACTTGAGATGTTACTATATCAAAAAATTTCCTTTCTGCTGACTCACATTTAAAGGTACTATTTTCTTTTAAATCTGCTAAAGGGTCTTTACAGCTCCTATATGTGACTCGAGCAGTTCAGCTCACTCATGTCTAAGGATGCCTTCTCACTGTGCTCAGGAATTCAAGGCAATTAGAAACAATAATTTAGTAAGGCTGCACACTTACATTGATCACATACGTCCCAGGCAAAAGGAGAAGATAGTACTCCCCTTGTTCATTTGTTCTGTAGGGGCAGATATGAGGCCTTCCTTTGGCTTCCACGATGACATTGGGAATAGGATTCCCATTCTTATCAGTAACTTGACCCTTGACACCTATGAAAAAGAGAGAGGAGAGAGATAACGACCTGTAACTGTAGTGAGCTGCCTCCTCCAAGAAAGTCAGACTGTTCTCTTGCTGGGTGCACTCAAAGGCTGTTTCACTGAGTTTGAACACATCTAATAATATCAGTAGTCACTTCTGTGTCACTGAAAGGAATTAAAACAGAATATGCCTGGTTGTTGTTTTTAATAGTTTACCCTCACATTAAGTTAGAAAGCAGCAATATAATCTCCTAAATCTCATTTGCTGAAGGCATCATATACACTTACTGTATGTGTATTTTACTGAAGGGCTTAAATCTTCAGTACTGCTTTGGCATTTTTTTGCACACACCCCTTCCCTTCTCTTTTTGTAATTTAAAATAAGTCAGCCTGTTCTCTAGTACTTCCCAAAGGCAGAATAGCAACAATGTCTGATTATGAAGTACTTTCCCTTAATTCTTACACACCGTCTTTAAGGCAGCACTGGCATTAGGCAGAGATAAAACAAATATTTTGGGCAATAAAATGCAAGATAAGCAACAGATTTGTGCAAGCCCTTCAACTGATTATAAAGCAGCATTGCTTCACTAAGCAGCAGCTCTCTTCCAACTGTGAAGTCAGGTCACACCCAGAAAAGTCTTTTAAAAATACAAAATCCAAGTAGCAAAAGACCCACAAAACTTGTGCACAGGCACACATACACCTCTAAAATAAATGACTGACCCAAGGCTGCTCAGGAAAGCAGAGTCTGTGAGGGGATGTATGGTCAGACAGTGCCTGGGGCCTGTCCCTTGCTCCTGCCCCAGCACATTTTAAGCCCCTTGCACTACTGTAGTAGCACCCATTGCCCCTCACCTGACAGGCCTGAGTTCTCCTCCATCCCTGGCCTTGTAGCACTTCATGTTCAGAAGCTCCCAAGTTCACACCAGAGCTCCTCCCACTGTGAGCTGTGACACTGACCCAGGCTGCTGAAGAGTTCCCACTAACCCGGCCTCAGCTTCACCTCCCATCCCCATTCACATACCCACCTAGGTGTACTTGTTTTATATATTCAATCAGAGCAACTTTGTTGTCTCTCCAGAACTTTTCCAGCTGGTCTGCTGGAGGATATTTACAGCATGACAGCTCCAATGTAATTTCAAAACATTGTCCCCAGACATAGTTGTAATCTTGCATTCCACCTTAAAAAAGTGAAATAAGAGAGTGTTCAGCTACAAAGAAGCACTAAGTTCCAAGTAAAAGACAAACAGAAGAGTTAAAATGTCAATCCTTGCATCCTACCAGTAAAAAAAGTAAATCAGATAAATTATTCCTCAATGCCACACTTGTATTTACTGCCTCCTGCGGAAAACAGACTTTATTACTCTAGTTACACGTAGAGTGGTGTTTTCTAAAGCACAGTGGCATTTTGGGAATGATGATGATTCTGGCTAAGAAAGGTTGGATCTTTGACTGAAATTCATTCAAGCATTTCCAACTAAATTGTGGCAGATAAATTCATCAGTTTGCCAAAGCCATTTCAAGAGCCTTTTATATGTCTTTGAATTCAGATAGTGAAAGCAATACACAATGCCACAGCACACAGGGCCCATATTCTATTTGGCTACACATAAACAGTAATGAAAACATTTATTTCAGTGATCAAAAAATTAAAAAGGATGATATATGAACAGAAGATTGGTTTTCTTTCTCAAAGGACAAGATCTTGGTGCCAAGGAGTGTGTGCACGTGTGTATAATCTATATAGCTATTGCAGGCCTTAAGCAAGAGCACAGAGGCAGCCAAACAGCAGTGACTGCCTCATTCACTTGCAATTGCTAGCTGGGAGAGCCTGCAAACACCCAGGTCCTGCTCAGAGAATCTGCATGAAATGAGTTTGTTTACTCCCCTCATCAGCCCTCTACTCTGGGTAAAATCACTGTCCTTTCATCATCAAAGATGGCAGGAGAAAGTGAGACATCATATCAGAAGCAGCTGAATAAAATATCACTGAGATTCTTACCTTCCAACTGGTACCAAGAGTATCCATTGGTAATGCCTTCTGGAAAGGTTTGTCTCTTGTCACACCCAGTCCCTTTGTACATGCTGGCATGGTTGGAAGAATAGGTTTTTGCCAGGTGAATAAAGACATCATCATCTGGAGATCTGCTATAGCCTTTCAAAGAGCCAGTAACTACAGAATGAAGACAACAATTGTTTAACTCTCATTACTGATAAAGCATACAGTGCTGGCTTACGCACAGGATAAATGTCTCCCAAACAGCTACATTAGGCAGTGAATTTTTATGGGGTTTATCAAATTCTGCCCATCCCAGCTCAAGAGCTAGAGTAACCTTGCAGAAATCCTTATAAATTTTGCTTTGGTACAGCTAATGTTCCTAAACCAAATCAGCTGTGAAGAAGAGAATTTGTTATTAGCTTACCTGAGTTACCATTATCAAAGGTGTAACTGGCAACCAGGGCACCCCCATGCAAGTTTGCTGAAAGAACAAACGTTTCATTTTTTATCCAGTTCATTACTGCTTGAGTCTCTGGCTGAATGCTAGCGTTGTTATTTTCAAAGGCATCAGGAAAATTTCTGTTCAGATCTTCTCCATTCTTGTTGTACCTTAGAGAGGAGAGAAGACATTCACATTACTGTTTTGCCTATGGACACCTCCACATCACCAGCCTCCCAAGTACTCCAGATCTGTGGCATGGTAGTGTCCTCAGGAAACAAACAAGATGACCATTCTTATTTCTGAAGCATTAAGATGATGGATTTCAGTTTGATTTCTAGCAGCACTGGAATTTTCATAGGACACAATAAAACAATTCTTCTGTTGTATCTCAAGTGAAAACAGTGCATATTTAACATGCATATAGCATGCACACAGCTACATATATGTGATTTAGAAAAACCAGAGCCAGATCAGGAGGACATTGTCCTTCTGTATGTGTTTTTCCCACTTGCACAGAGGACCAAGGTAACAAGTGAATGGCTGTGTCCCTTGTACTGCCATATCTCCGGTCAGAGAGAAAAATTTGAGTCAAACACAGAATGTATTGTCTTCTCCCTGAACCCGAGGGTCCAGCCTGTGCAAAAGCTTACTTGCTTTTTCACTCAGACAGGTCAGTACAGGAGTAGAGAGGGTATCTGTTGTCAATTGTGTTAATTTTTAAAGTCATTAGTTAAACTCTATTTGACAGTGAGGGGATAAAATGTACCCCTCTCCATACAAGTCCCACCTATTTGCTGAGGAATAAACTTCTTTCCTGATAAAAGGATGGCCTACACTGGTCACCCAAAGAACTACACTACCTAAACTACCTTTTCACTTGTTTCTGATGTTGCCATGGCCAGTGATCCAAGAGAAATTCTAGCTCATGAGTTTGCTTTTTCTGTACATTTCAACTTTGTCCCTTTGGCATTTCTTCCCATTCTCTCACTCTTTCCCTATTTTAGCTTGTTAAGCTTTTCATTCCCTTTTGGTCTCTGCAATGGTTACATTAAAGAAAGCAAAAGTCGCACAGGATGCAATGCTAAGTTGGTTGCATTTTCTTTTGTGTTAGTTTTTTTTCCTAGTGCTACTAATAGCGCTACTATAGGTACAACTATTACCTATTATAGCCAGCTGTCACTGCATAACTCCTCCCTCTTTATCTGCATTCAATGTGATCTTCAAACACACTGCTAGAAGTCCACTCAACAAGCTTAGACACATTTGTCTCATTAAGAAGGTTTACAAAGTTCTCCAACTAAAATAGATCCCTGTGGGTGGAGTTTTCCTTCTTTTCTTGTAGCACCCTAAAGGTGCTACAAAATAGGGAATTGTGCTTTTGTATTCACAATCTGGGTCTCCTGCCTAAAAGGTGAGGTCATTACGCCATTCTGACTGATTTTCTCTGGCTGCACCACATATAAACACCAGTCTGACTCAGTCTTCACAAACTCCATGTTGTAAAAGCGCGTCTTCAGAACAGCACTGGAAAAAATTAGCCCTAACACATCTTCTAGACTATCCTCTCCACCAAGTATGATTCAGTCTCTTGGCTATCTGCGATTATTGCTCCCCACCCATTTCCTTTGCCTCTCCCACCCTCATAAGCCATTTTACCTTCCTCGTGTGTAATAACAATCAGGCACTTCTGTAGCTTCAAATCCATCAGGATTCATTGTTGGCATGATATGAATCCGGGTATTATTGAGTAACCGGGTAATAACTGGGTCATGTCTATAGCTGGTCACCAGGAAGTCTATCAAATGGAGCAGGATTTCTCTCCCAACGGTCTGTATAAAAAAGCATAAGATTTTATTTTAAGTCTGCTATGGAAGACAAGAAGAAAATAAATAAATAAAAAAAGACCCATCACCTTGCACTTCCAGGTTTTTCTTACTGGATTACACAGACATACAAGGCGTACAAGAGCATTCTAATCAACACTGGTTTGTTTTATGCTCTCCCCTAAATACATTTAAAGCAATTTCATAGATGAAAGGAATCACTGGAGGGTTTTCACTTTAAACCCAGATCAACCAGAGCTTTTTGTATAATGGGAAACTGACTGTATCAGCTAGACTGCTTAAATCTGCATGGATAAGGCACAGCCTTATCAAAAACTAAAACTGCCTGATAAAGATCATGTGGGCTTGGGAACACCCCACTCTGTTTTCTCAGCCCCACTACAGTCACAGGTCTGCTCTGATGCCCAAGGAACCCTGCATCCTGTATAGGAGTGTCAGTGCTGTACATCACCACTTGGCAGTGATAGTTCAAAAGAAAGAAAGGAGAAGCCTACCATAATTGCAGAGCAGGCCTTTTCTTACTGATCCTCTTTTATGGAAAGTCAACTTTAATACAGGATCAAAGAGGCCCCATAGACACTTCTGTTACATTCCCTGCTACACTGCTTTGTTTTAATGGCGTGAACACATGCATTGGGGAAACCAAACGTGTACATAAAACCTTAGAAAAAGACATGGAAGGACATTTGGATGCAGACTTTGAATCCAGGAAAGGTAGTGGTAGAGAAAAAGCTAAACACATATTTTTGTTCATATAAGTTTGTATAAGTTGTGAAAGCTGACAGGACATCTCCCTTTATCAGATTTCAGGTAAAATAGTGGCAAGTTCCAGACCCAGAGTTATGAACAGTCAATCCTATTCTACCCCAGGAACCACTGTTGTAGTGTTTACTGGACTATACTTTCCACGGGCACTTTCCACAGCACTGTGACCCATGCTTCAAGGGCACTATAAAGTTCCTAGGCCCTGTCCGGAATGGGAATAAACCAAGATGTGCACCTAGATGTGCTCCAGAGACAATTTATTTTTACTTTATCTCCAAAAACAAAGCTTAGTAAATCACTGCAGGCTCTATTTCAGAGCTACAGCATCTCAGTATCTTTTAGAACGAGTCTTGCACCAATAAGGTAGAAATATTGCAAAGAATTCTTTTTTTGAAAGTGAGGAACACGGAGTGGCATTACCAGATGAACTCATGTTGCAGATACACATCTCCTTGCTTTAAGATTACATTAATAATTTTTTCACAGATATTGCACAGAACATTCTGAGTTGGAAGGGACCCGCAAGGATCATTGAGTCCAACTCTTAAGTGAATGGCCCCTGCAGAGATCAAACCCACAACCTTGGTTTATTAGCAACATGTTCTAACCAGCCGAGCTAATCTCAGGTAAAAGGTAGGTAGAATCAAGCAGGGGGAAAGCAATATTTCTCCACAGCTATTTGCTGCACTCGTTATCTTGTTGAATTTTCACATTGGTGCATTTTAAGTGGCAAATTCTGCTTTTGGTGTTAAGAGAAATGGGAACACAGACACCATCCAGCAGGACCTCTGCCTGGATACAGAATGGGGCAGGAGAACTGGGTGTAGATGCTGTTCAGGTTGGGAACAAATCATGTCTTGCCAGTTAGATGCCAATTGCTGTTTATTGCAGAAGAAACAAACAAACAAACAAGGTAGAGCCAAACCTGACTCGGCTAAGTTGCAGATCACACCATTTTAAGTGTCACACCTGAAGGCAGCCATGGTCTCTGAACTGGTACTCAAGCAATTCTGCCAAGGGAAAAGGAGGAGCCTTTCTCTTCCCACCTTGCCCCCCAGTAGATTTGTTCTTAGGTTTTTACCCCTGTTGCTGGTCTCCTGCAAGCCACCGTCAAGTAATTTGCTAGGGGAACTTAAACACATATACTATGCCAGTAACCAGGTGGTTCTTTTCATAGACACTACAGAAAATGGGCTTTGAAAAAGGGGGGGAAGGTACCTAATTTCCTCCATTTCCAGTAGCTTTCAAAACAGCACCTGAGTAGGTGAAAACAGACTGCTCTGCAAGTTTGATAAATATACTCTGACATTTACGAAAAGATGCAATAGAACCTGTCTTGCACAGGCAGCTCTTGAACTGGGTGATAGACATCTTGGGAAGAATATAGGGGTGGGTGAAGAAAGGAAGGGAGAGAAACCAGCCAAATCATGGCCCTGGGCATGAGAGATAAAGCTAACAGACTCAGAATCAGCAAGAATGGCCCTACCGCAGAGACAGCTAAACTACAGACAAGACTGCACTGTTGTCTGGAGAAACTGGGAAAGGGTTCTTCTCCTACTGTACTTCTCTTCAGTGTCTGACCAAAAGAAAGGGTAGAGAAGCAGGAAAAGAAAGGGGAAAAAAGATAAAGAAAAGTAACAAAAGAAGGTGATAGAAAAGGACAATATTCACAAAGAATAAAAGGTGACCAGTTTTTCACAGATGACATTCTTTGCACTTAAAAGTTAGCCCCAGAGTTAGTTATGTATACAGTATTTTAAAAACTGACTCTATTTTACAGGAATCCTTGTATAACTATTTTTGTACCCAAGTACTCAGCACATTAAGTAATTCAAATTATCTCTGTCATAAGAGAACTGGTCCTTTTATCATTGCTCTTGAGGGAAGAATATACTTATTACCACTGTTTGGGTGGGGCAACAGAGACATTTGGGTCCAGAGTACCCTGCATTTCTTGAGAAAGCACATCTGGAGGTGTCTGAAGGAGAGGGAAAGTCTTTGTTTCTGGGAACCTATAGCTCAAGTTTTGATCAAGCCCTTGGAAAGCATCTGCTGTTCAGTCAGTCTCTACCGTTATTACAGAGGTCAGCTGTACCTGTGGATAAGTTATGAGTTAGTTTTAGAGCCTCAAATAATGGATATGGATACACTGAAGGTAGTTTGCTGACAGTAAAGTCAAGGACAGACACCTTAACCTGCCTCAAGTCTCATAAAAAGATAGAGAGAAGAGCAGGGACAGCATTTATAAGCTCTGGGGCTTTGAGAAGACATAATGAACATTTGGTTTTAAGTGCAGTATCCCAAGGGTGAAGCCCAGGTGTTTTGTTCTGCTGCAGTTCACATGAAGGCTGAGAGAAAAGCAAAGGAAAGCCCTTTCTCCCAGCTCTAGAGATGCAATTAGACATTAAGTTTCTCTGTGCGCTTTCAGCTGCCAGTTCCCTCCTGTGCACCAAAGGGAGAAAGTCAGCAGGAAAGGCTATCAGTGTTCCTCAGGGGAACTCTTGAACGAAGAAGTGTGCGTGTGTCAGGGCACGGATCAACACTGTAGAAAAGGGCGTGACTGCTGTTTCTGTACACATATCCCTTAAACTTTCTGACTCTCCCCTCTGGCATGGCTGTGTCAGCACCCTGCTCAGCTACCAGAAGGCTTACTCAAGCAGCCAGTTAGAAGATTAAGGTTAGCTTCAATTGAACCTGCACTATAATACTTTACTGCAGCACTCCTGGTTTTAGAACATTGTTGTTACAACATGATAGAGACCTTCTATAGACCAGGGGACTACGGGTGGATGGACTCTGCCCATTTTTATTATTAAAATTCTTTCCTTAAATGTGGCCTGATTTTTAAGTCCAACAATGTCGAAAGAAAGATCCAAACCATCAGGTAGGACCTGTTTCAGGGCAACACAGTCTTGCCAGTCTCCTTGCTTGAGCTCTAGCTGCTCCACAGGCCTAGTTCAGCATACCAGGCACAACCTCACCTAAGGAAGTGGAGTTAGAGCAGAGAAACCAGTAGTCCATCTTGGTTTCCCACTTAAATGCCACACTTACAAGATGTTGTTTTTAACACTTGTACAGCAATAATTATTATGCAACACTACAACACACCCCACTGTGTTTGTCCTTCTTTACTAAAATACACCAGTGTTAAAGTGACTGTTTATGCAATTAGTTTGGCACACATACATTTATTTCTACAGCAGCAATCGCTATGAAAATCTGAGAATAGCACATATATGACAGGGAAGTGCAGTTCCTTGGTCTATCACTGAAGGAAATGGCAACATAAAGCCTGCTTTTGAACTAGTAACTGGTGTAAGTTGTTACTGCCTGGACAAATTCCACACGCTTCTCAGCACAAGGCTTCACCTGGCTGACAAATGGATAGCTTTTTCTTTTCCCACTCAGAAGAGTGTGAGAAAAATAAGGAAAAAGGTAACTGGGGCAAGGCAGTGTTAAACTGTGTTGAAACAGATCTCAGCAGCACCCAGCTTTTTTTAAAGTCTGTTGTTAGCACTGAGATTTGATTGCTTTGAATTTTGAAACCTCTGGTGCTTCTGACCTTCTTAACATTACATCAGCTGATACTGAAGCCAGGTGGAAAATAGTTCACAATGCAATTTTTTTTTAATAAATATTTTTTTATTTTCTAGAGCACATATTATTTCCCCGCACAGCACTTCAATAATATATTGCACAGTACTAAGGACATAGGAATATGTGCTGAAAATAGCAGATTGTGTAGTATGTGGACACAATTGGTTTTTTGCAACTGGGTGATAAAAAAAACCCAGCCTTTTTTTCCATAGTGGTATCTTGACAGTGTAAATGTAGCTTCCATTTATTTTCTTGGAAATAGGAGTGAGAAATTCTATACAAGAACTAGTGTGTCGTCATTTGTTTGTTAAGTTTTTTTAAGTCTCAGTTATAGTGATTACAAATAAAACTACTCCAGTCCTTACTCACCTAAGCCCTAATATCTCAAAAAACTTATGTCATGCCATATCTCAGGAAACCTTATTGTGGATATGACTATGTCTATGATGACATGGAAAATAGGATATAGGTGCTTTAACTTATTTCACAAGATAAGCCAGCAAAACAAACATCCTTTCATGTAGGTTAGCTCAGACGTATCAGTTCAGGCTCAGCTTCACATAACGAAAAAGGCAAAATATTATTACACTAAGAAAATAAAGCAACCAGAAGTGGATGCTTCAGGAGAAAAGGATTGGTATCAGCATTGCCATCCTGAGAAAGATGTTATCTCGTGATGGCCCAGTAACACTGTAGCTGCAGAAAGTTAAGAAAGCCATATACTTAATACATTAAAGGGAACAAGCAGAAACACACGGGTAGTTTACAGTTTGTTCAGACATGCTTCTTAAAGGATTTCCCTGCTGTGACATACACGGTTTAGGAACAGCCTTCCAATTAGATCCTATGGTTCAGTTGTATAGAATGGACTCAAGTCACTGGCACAGCTGGTCCAAAGGTGATAGGTCTACTCCATTTATGACTTCGGGGTATTTAGGGGTTTGGTTGTGGTCCATGTTAAGTGGAATCAGTTCTTCCCCAGGGAGGAATGTGTGAGTGTACAGACTGAGAAAGAGAAGATCTTTCAAGCAAGAGTATGAGGTTGGGACAAGAGAAGCTGCTGCCTAATTCAGAATGGGAGCCGCCCCAGAGCAGCAGGCAAACTCTCCCTCACCTTCCCCAGTGCAGACTCTATTAACATTTCACAGGCTTATGCATCTTATGCAGTCTATTAGTGTCATTTTGATGAATCAGTTTAAATTAGTTTTAATCTGGCTTGGGTTAAACAAAAAGTACTGCTAAAGATGGTGTCCAACTTCATACAGTCATACAAAGAACAGAAGTCTTTTGTTGTCTCTCTGTCAATCTGGGGCAAAAGTTCACTCTATTTGGCAATGATGAACCTAAAAGCAATTCTTTTAAATCTTGGCTGGTTATGTCCTACAGTATTAAGAAAAAATCAGCCAGTTCTGAAAAAAACAACTCTTTTCCTAGAATTGTGTACTCATATTATTTTATTAGAACTTCCCTATTTGGCAGCTCTCCAAATAACCTAGATTTTCTTCCAGAAGCATGTGTGAACAGCCCACACACATGCAATTCAGGATCCTTCCCAACTTCTATGTTTTAGGAGTAGCTGGCCAGCTAACTCAAAGTTAAGTGTCATTTGTGTGATCATGACAGGTTAGAAGGGCAGCATGACCAAACAACACCTGAGAACAGAACTTTTTTCATTCTGTATCATTTTCTGGATATCTAGTTGGATCAATGAAGCCACAATCCCACAATCTGAATTTATGAAAGACTCTGGCACACAAATTGAAGCTCGTCATACAATTGTCATACAAAATTTATCTGCTTAATATATTGAGGGAGTAGTCGAATCTATCCCCAGTGACTATCCAGCAGAATCTTAGATTAGGGAAAAAAAATTCAAATTCTCCAATGCCTCTCTATATGAGGAATTCATTTCCTGACATCTGAAATACATTTACAATCAGATAAAAAACAAACACCAACTGTGCATTATATGTATACATAAAAAAAAAACCCATTAGGCAAAGATCATCATGAGGGCCTGAAAGGAAGAACAGCTCTATTTTCAGAATGTTCCCTAGGTACATGCTTGGTCTAGTGAACAAGAGAGAATGTAGCATGCTACATGCTATATGGTACCCAGGCATCTCAAGGATCAACCCTGCTCAGACTATCTGGGACCGTGTCTGACTTTAAAACAAAATCTTGCCTCATTTCCTCATGAAGACAATAAAAAAACTTAGATCCTAGGCAGTGATCTGAGTTGCCAATCTGCAGCAACTCTCAACCCTATGGACATGCAAACGGTGCTTGTTCCTATGTTCAGAGCTCCTTGTATGTAGCCAGCTGGGCAGTGATAATGGCATGAGTGTTTCATTGTGGAGGCTTCAATATATGTGGCCTTTTGCAGTGCAGCAACATTGGATATGACAGTCATGCCGTTCTGGATGAGATCTTATCTTGTTCTCCACTTCCTTCCCATCAAAGCTAAGTGATCTATAGCCATAGGTTTGCCATTCCCTTCAGCAGGGACTGTTATATGGACCCTCAGTTCCTAGGCACCATGTACTCCCCTGCTGACATAAAACAGGTTTCAGGAGCTGCAAACCCTGTCTTGGGCATCCAGTAACACATTTGAAACCATGAATCAGCTTCTTCCCACACAGAGTTAAATTCCAAATCAGTCAAATTTCCAGCAGCACTTTTAGCATAGCCACTGTCAAACAAGGTGAAACTAGTCTGACTTGGGAAAAATTCTTGGCACAAAACATCATAAGTGCCTGTAGGCGTGCAAGTGCTCCCACACCGTATTGTTAATAGTAATAACTTGTAATACATTGCCCTTTACACAGGATGCACTTCCTACTACACATATTTTTCTTAGTTTTGGGAATTCACAGACTAGCATATATATATATATATACACACACACACACTCTTGTTAAATTATTTAACCCTCACATGAAGACTGCATAAAAACATATTGAGTAGTTTAAACTTATCCTGAACATGACTAATATAAGCAGGTAAAGCCAAAGAATAAGGGAAATAGAAAGCAAGAAAGTATTATAGAGGAGAGTGAAGCTTTGATTCTTTCTGATCCAGATTGATGTACTGCATCAGGAAGGCTTATAATCACCATTCTCTTATTTATCATTAATAAGTGGGCATTCCTCCCAGAGCAAGTTATTTGCTTTGGAATTGCTTTTTGTTTTGTATTCGCTGTGTTAGCTCAGGTGAATTTAGGTGTTCCTAGCTTAAGGTTTCCAAGATAAATTTTCTTCCTAAAATAAATATTTTGATGCTTCACAGTAATTATTATTTAATCTTACAATGTATTTGAAGAGATCTATCAGTCATATTCCATGCCCAGGCAATAATAACGTACAAGCAAACTACTGAATCTGACTCACTGACAGGAAAGTTAAAGCCTCTGGGTTTTATCACTTGGAGAAGACAAAGCTCTCTACTTAAGAGACGTCTTGGGTGTAGGATTGCAGGACTCTTCACTATGATGTCAGGTCTGCTAAAGCCTTTCCACCAAAACAAGGGAACTTTATTCTTAAAATTCCTCAAGAAATACACGCATATTATGTCCTCTTTGAGTTATGACATACCTCAATAATAAGTAGCACATGCCAGAGAAAAGTTCATTCTAAACCCCTGATAAGTGTATTTGGTATAAATGACATTGCAAAAATGGAAACGTACCTCATCCCCATGCATATTAGCAACATACTTGAACTCTGGAATGCCAATCTTATGATGGGTTGGAAACCTTCCCAGAACAAGAACCCACAGGTCTCTACCTTTAAGAGGGGAAGGGGAAAAGACATTTTTTAAACAAGTATAAAATCATACAAACCTTAGAAGAAAAAGAATAAAAAGAATTGGTCATTAAGGCCACCATACAATTTCTCATATTTCATTGGTGCCCAGTCAGTCCTATATATAACATATCCAAGCAGACTGTGGAGTGCTTTTATTCTATGAATATATGCCACATTAGCTATAGGAACAAATACACTTTGCCTTCTGAGCAAGTATGTAGTGAACCCTGCAATTTCTACAGCATTTAGCCAGTAGTAGAAAGGAAGGCTTTTTTTTGGTAATAAACGTATTTCAAATCAAATTTAGCAAACAAGATCGCTCTTTCCGACAAAATATTACACTATAAGGCTTTTCTGAAGTTTATATAGTAGTTTTCATTATCACAAAGAAAGAATATCTGTTTTTGTACTAAAGACAACACAAAAAAGTTAAACACAGTCATGCATTACTGCTCAGAAAACAGGAGGTACCAGGAAGAGCTGTATCAGAGACATATTCCAAAAATATCAGCAGGGAAGAAATTAAGAGCTATGGAAAGAGTATTAGTTAGGACCACTAATGCTACACAGGAAGCTGAACTTTAAGTAACAAAATAAACAAACATACATACATTTTGGAAGTCCTCAGTGGGGGGGTACTTTTTGTTGTTATTTTTAGCAATACTGTGGCATTTCAGACCTCATCTGCAAAACTCTGTTTCCCACTGGTCTGTTCATTGAGGTGGAAAACTCAAGTTTCAGTAGATGGCAGCAATGAAACTGGACCAGTTTTTTGATAATAGCAGTCACAGCCTATAGATTGCTAATGCCCAGAGTTTTCATGCATGCTACCTGTCCCCAGCTCTCACACAGGGCTAGCTGGGACCCGTGAGCTGTCTGAGACAAGTCCAGCCATCGCTGCTACTTACAAGAAAGAAGAACATAGGTGCTGCTATAGGCAGTACTATAAAAAGCATTACTTCGTAAATCTTTGTGGATCATCAAATCTGCAGTAAACAAGCTCTGGAGCATATAAATTTCCCATTCCTCAACCCATGACCTCCATGGTCATGCACATGCCACAGCACTCTTGTTTTCTTTTCCAGCTGTGTGACTCACAGCAGTTATACCACAAAGGTCATGGTTTCAGGAATGGGACAAAAAAATTGCAGAGGACTGAAAGAACACTGCAAGATGCACAGAAACAATTATAAGAGGTAAACCTGAAGACAGTGGTTCCCAAATTAAATTCTTACTTAACAGGTTTAATCAGTCTCAGCTTACGAGATGGCACTGAGAGCTGACAGATTCAACAAGGAGTGATCACAGGATCCCCTGATTTTACGGTTACTCTAGAAGACATTGGTGTTCAACCCTTGTAACCATATGCTATGCACAAAGCTGTGAGATGCTGCTACTGACTCTTTCATTAAAGGACAATGTGAGAAAGCAATCCATATTTTTAAAAATAATTTTGTGGTAAGTGATCTGGCAAGGAATCTAGTTGTTTGGCTTTGTTGCATGCAGAGTCACTGTTACATAAACAAAAAAAAAAAAAAAAAGACAAAAGCTTGACTTTTGTAAGCTTAGACAAGTTACAGAGTGGAGAACCCAGAGACACTAGCTTTCAAGCACATCCTGCTTCAAAAAGGAGAGCAAAAGAACATCTAATCCCTACCACCCTAGTCCTTCTCCCTTCCAAAACCTCTACAGGTCCCCTCCAACCTCAACTATTTTGCAATTCTGTGAAAATACATGACAAGTTTTGCTGCAGTAGTATATATTTGGAACTGAAAACAATCTAGTTGTGAAAAACATATGCTGCCGTTAGTCATAATCAAGCATGGACAACAATTTCAATTTAATTTCCACCTCTGCAATGTGTCCTTCTCTCCATGGTTGTATCCTGCAAAGAATTACCAAGGAAGGCCTTCCAGAGTGCTCCTATGAGTCTTTGTCCATATGCCCTCTAAGCCATTCCTCCCAGCTCCCATTCCCTCTACTGGAAGGAAATTTCAGACATCGCTCCTTGGTTCCAGCGTGTCAGTTGCCATGTGGACTGCTGCACCAAGCAGAACAAACCTGCTTACAGTTGAGACTGCAGCCTTCTCGCCACATTCCAAACCTAGAGTTGACTTCTGTGAACCTAAACGTGCAGCTTCCCCAGTGAGGGGTTCATCAGACCGAGCTGCAGTGCCCAAGAGCACATCCAACATCTAAAAGTCAGCAGTGAAATTATCAGATTAATGTAACAAAGGACTTACATTGGAGACCTGATGGTCCCAGTTCTCCCCCAGATAAAGATAGATACAGCTAAATTGTAACACACAAGGTTTCCTACAGAGGAAACCTATGCCTTCAATAAGATTATAAATTCATTCAGGTCTGAAACTGCCCATTATCAGCATGAGTATCAAGCACACAGGGTTTCAAAATATCTCAGAGCCAACAGGTTTAGTGAATTACATGTAAAAAGACTTTTCAGAGCAAGTGCCAAATAAAAGCATTACTTTCCTCAAATCCTTGACAGTTTCCTGCACAAGCAAAAAGCAGTGACTTAGAAGGTGAGATGACTTAATGCCCTGAGCCTGCACTAAAACAACAAGAGTCCAAGTACAAGTAAAATGCTCTAGATGTTTCCATCATTTGAGACTTTTTACAAATAATATTTTATTCTGTTTTCAAATTTTAAAAAAGTACTTCTAATGGCTTGCCATGAGCAATGCTCATTCCTGCTGCTCTCACTGTGAAATTGCCCTCATGGGAAACACAAGGAAGAGCTAAGTATAGACTAACATTAAGTACTGATGTAAATTGGTCTTTCCAGCATTAGTATTTAGACTGTTTATAGTTTGTGTGAGGGCCATCTAAATGATAAACACTCCCATGAACTGAGATACCAATTATTTCCTGGCATTTCCAGTTTGTAAGAGGTATTAAACCTCCCACTAACAATTAAAATAAATTCCTAGGTCTGCTCAGCCTGCAGTACTGGATAGTGTACCTATGAGGAATGATGTAAGATTTCTTTCCATATGGCAGTAATTAACTGCATATAAAAAGATTCAGCATATGGATGGTTTCCTTTAATCAGTAAAGCCTAGATAACTCTGGGTTTGTACCTGAGGTGAACAACTAAGCTTCCTCTCATGCTCTGAATCAACTGAACATATAAAAAAACCCCATTCCTCACTGCCAAATTGCCAAACTAGAACTGACATCAACTAATTAGTAAACTATATCAAAGGTATGTTTCTAACTGTGTGTCTCAGGACAAGTAACAAGACTTGTTTTGGAACAGAGCCAGACCACACAGCTTCTAGTAGAATGAGCAGTCTTTTTAACTTTTCAAAATGTTTCCTAGCATTGCCACAGTTCACAGCATAGTATCAGACATTATAACTAATCAAACTAATGACCTCAAAAAACCATACTTTTGAGATTACATACAAGGCACAACAATTTACTTTGCTTTCTATTTCACATCCTCTTCCTTAAAACTTACTAATTTTTAACCTTACTTATGCCACATTCAGCACAAACTCTACAGGTCAAGTGGCATATTATCAGGGTGGTCTGCACACTATTCAGAAAGACGGGACTCCAAGCTGTAGGGAAGGTCACTTTAGAAGTAAGAAAAGAAGATAGAGATGTAAAATAAAAAGTTCAAAGAACTTAAAAGCGTTCTCATTATTCTTCAGATTGTTACTGGCTATTGATATTTCAGCAGTCTCGAGAACTCACACTATCGGGCCTTCATTCTATTGTGCTTCACACAAACTCTTAAAATGTTTGTGATCCCCAAAGTACACCACCAAAGCACTGCAAATAAGAAGGGGGATAAGACAGACAAGATTCTATTCAATGAGAAGATGAGAGGGTGGTGGCTATGCCTTAGGCATAGCTTGTGTTAATCCTGCTCAATTCCAGTATAAATAGAAGAGCTTCAGCCTAGATTCTATGATGAGAACACCAAGTAACAGCAGTGAAATAAAAACACACCAGCTGATTTTTACAACAGCTTTCACTGCAAAAGCAACCTCTACATAATTATGGTTTGACAGGAGAAACAATGCAAATAACTAGAATCTGCATTACTTATGCAAAAATATCGTGGGGAGATGGGATGGCTTGAGAGTCACTCCTTGGTAAATTCTTCTGTAGATACACCACAATTTCCACATAATCTCTCACACACTCTTTAATCCACTTTAACTATGCATACTAATATTGAAAACATTTCCCTAACTGCATTTGGCAACACATTCTGCTGTGTGTTTTGATACTCCACCCTCACTTGCTACCTGTAACACTAGTGTAAATCTATGTTCATTGTTACCATGCAAGATACTAAGGCATTTTACAGTTTTCTTTTTGCTGCAGAACTGTATCAGAGTATCTTCCCAGTTGCATCTGACATCTATTTTCTGAGATTAAGTCAAACTATGTTCATTAATACAACAAAAATTCCTTATCTTGCAGGAAGAGAAAAAAAAAAAAATCAATCCCAGCTTTATCACTTATAACTTTTAAATCACATTCACGGTAAATCTTTTCCCTTGCTAACATAAACCATTGTTTGCCTTTTAATTTTTCTGATCTGTACTTGTGTTCCCTGCAGAGCTCAGTACTGCCAACATGTAACATAGGCATACAATTGCTTCCTATGTGCACACACATAGGCAAGAAGATGGAAATAGAGACATTAAATTCTCCTGTACTTCCAAGCTTCAACAGAAAGGCAAAGTATTTGCTTCTCCATGATAACAGCAGGGCAACACTGTCTTCCAGCAAAACACTAGCACAGCTAATGGAGGACTTCAGGAGTAATTCCCTTCTGCTAAGCAAGCACCAGCAGCATCCATGCCCTGAGGCACGCTGATTTGTCATCATCGATTCAGGATAGAAAATCTAAAGCCATTTTGGAACTTGTTTTCTGCAAGGGGACTGCCCAAGAGCACACATGGCTTGCTCCAGTTTCTAACAGAATTTGAGGTACC